AAGAGTGGAAAGAAGAAAAATGTTAATTGGTTTCATTTAAATCTGATTGTCAATCTGATACACAGCTATGAAGATCTGATGATTTTTTTTTTCCTCGTTCGTCTGTTCTGCTTGGTGAAATGTAAGGCTTACATAATCCCCCGGAGAGCAACGCAGTTTGAAATGCAAATAATTAAGCATTAGTACTAAAGCCAAAAATCAATTTTCCTGAGAACAAGTTATTTCGCCATTAAAATGTTTATTTTTTTTCTTTTCAAACCTTGGAGTGGATTCTGCATCCTGAATAATGTTAAAATCATGTCATGATTCAAGACTGTAATCACAAGTCGCAGTGTCACTGCAACATACGCTGTATACCTGACCTACAGTGCCTCGGATCTCAGTTCCAGACGGGATTTGATCATTACAGCAACACATCCCCTCTCCAACAACAAAGAGATTAAGTTAAGCAAGTGCTTAACTAAACAGTGGAATCATAGCACACGTGTCTATGCTGTGCTGGCTTAGACATCTAGAGTCTAAAGCCCGCACAAAAAAACACTGCAAAGGGAGAACAGATAGAGACCCTGCACGGAGGAACACTGCTAGTCAAAGTCCTTGTAAAGGCCAAGAAAGCAAGGACTAAAACATGCTGGATTCATCAGAAACCTGGAAGTGTCAAAAATCACTTAACTGAGAGGTGAAGCCAGCTTTGCCAGCAGCCGAGCAGCAGCCTGCGACAGCCGAAACACAGGGGTGACGGAGCCAAGGAAGCTCTGGCCCGGTGAGCGACACCTCGCCGAGGAGCCCCTGCCTGCAGCACCAGCTCTGCCTGTCCGCCCAGCAGCTCGGGCCAGCGCTTCGCCCCCAGGCTCTGCCACACCATTCAGCACCATCCTCTTCCTCCAGACCCACTCTGGAAAAGGCAGGCACGGAGCCGGGGGGTGCCGCAGCCTTTCCAGCATTCAGGAGCCAGGACACAGCAGGCGATGGAAAGCCAATGCAATTTGTACGGCTGTCACCGTAGCAGTGGTGAGGAGGTAACGGGAAGCAGAAGTAAGCACCAAAGCTGTGGCTACTTCTGCCCAAGAGAGGCTGTGCCGTGCTGTACCAGCATCAGCTTACAGTTAGTTGTTGAAGGGCTTTTCAAACCACGTGCAGCCCCGCCATCAAATTCAGGGGTTGCAGGGCACAGGCTGCTAACACGCAGATAGGAAAGCAGAGACTGAGAAGAGTTATAGGAACCCAGCTGAGCCATCATGACAAAAAGTTGTTCTTTGGGACCAGTACCAACCCTGGCTGCAGGGATGGGATCTGGTACTGCCAGAAAGCCAGCAATAAAAAAGTTGAAAAGAACAGTAGTAGAGACAAAACCAGGTTCAACATCAGTCCTGAACTGACTGTTCCCATCTTGCTCCTTCCTTCCTCTACAGCAGACTGCCCAGGCTCAGCTCTCGGTTTTAGCCAAACTAAAAAGCACAGGTCTGGCCCCACCTAGAACAACAGAAATGGAACAATTTTACACAGGGGTGAGAGTAAAAACTGGAACCCAGCCTTTCCAACCACCAACAGGTGCTCTGCACCATGTGCCTTGTAATAAGTAAATAAAACTCTCATTCTTTAAGAAGCTTAAGCTCTGAAAGATCATTACCTGGAGCATTAAATCCAAAGAGCTGCATGCTGTATCACCACCTCCCTGCTCCTGCTCAGCTCATAATTCCCATGGAAAATTCATAAAAGCTAATGTAGCTTCTCTTCATGCTGCTCTCAGGATTCACTAAGTTTTAAGCAATAATTTGCACTGCACCCCGCTACCCATTTCCCTTCAGTCACATAACAATCAAGGAATAAATGGCATTGCAATAACAAGCACTAATTTTAAGACACAGAAGAATAATGTGCTCTCTACAGAAAACCAAGATTCTGCAATGCTGCCACTTAATTGACTCATGGCATTACGAGCAATTACCACACTGAGAAGTTGGAGCAATTTTAATAGCTCTTGCTACTTAATAGCTCTTGCTATCAAAAATAAAAAAAACTGAACTCTGCCTTTAGCACCATCACCAGTCTGTTGCACAATTTACAGAACCTGATGCACTGAGCTTACCTCCTCTTCTGGGCTTCTACTCACTACTATCATCCAAACCACAGCACATGTAAGACGGTGGTTCTGATCATTAGATACCAGCATTGAAAAAGCTTTTTCTGGCCACACCTCGACCCTGCTGGCATGGCATCTTCCCCCTCCAGCAGTTCGAGCCATTCTACACTAATGGCAGGGAGCTGAACTCAGGCACAGTAATTAGTAGACACTTGCTCAGCAAACACAGAAAATGAGATCCCATGCTCATCTACGTAAGCAGGATCCCATTTCCAGAAGCACTCATACCAGTCATGGTGTTATCCTGTCAGTTATTAATCCGATAACATCTGCCAGGTCAGGAACAAGGATTTCTCTCATTTTTTGTTTTCACTTACGCTTGTCCCCCTTACCAGGGTCAGTTACTCTGGGAAGGAAACTTCTCGATTAGTGTGTCAGAAGCAATAAATTCTCTGCTAATTGATGTCCTTGTAGGCTTTGACCCAACTAGTGGAGTTTAGCAGCATCTGCCACTGTTTATTAAGTCACTGAGACGAAGGATGTTTTCAGCTTAATATGCCTGCCACAGCCTAAACTTCTGTACAACAAAACAAGCAGCTCTACACACATCTCTGGCTGTCTCCACGTGCATCATCTTGCCTCCTGCCCTCTCAGTGCTGGCATGAGTGGAGGCAGAGATGTCATCTTCTTGAGCATTTAGCCAGCGGTACCCAGAAGGTGGAGGATAAGCAAACACTCTGCTACCCCTGCTACCCTCCCAGTTACCACACCATCAGCACAGCAGCAGATTTTTAGACGTGTTTCAAATGAATCTCGTCTCAGCCTTAAAAGCATTGCATTAACAAAGAATTTCGTATGTGAATGACATTCCAGTGACATTAGCACCTGAGGCTTTTTGCTGTTCCCCAGCGTAAGCGATGGTGCAGTTAAATTCAAGCATCAACTGCTGATAGACCTGGGTACTGAAAGCAGCCACCCTGTTGGAACTGTGGGCATCCAGCACCTCTTCCATTTTTTATTACACAAAATGCACCCATAAATGCTGTTGTGCAGAAGTGATGCCTCTGTTAAGACAAAACGGCCCAATTTCTATATATGCTGAACCCTGGAAGTATCTGTCAATGTGATCTATCAGGATTCTATTGGTACCATTGGGACAACTTGTCCAAGTTAGGGACTGATGCCTTTTTCTTATTTCACTGGGAACCTCAAATGCATCCTTTTTAGCTAAATTGAGCCTCAATATCGCATTATTATTGAGAGGTGGAGTGGCTGAATACACAGTTCTCTCACTACAGAGTGGTCTGTATTTGCCTGTGTCTGAGAGTGAGAAAGAGAGAGAGTGGGAGAGCAACCACATCTGGCATTCCAGTCATATCATACTCCTGTCGGGACATGAACCCATTTGGAAATAAAAAGCAAGGAAATAAGGCATTTTTTCTACCCTGTGTTTTGACCTTTACATTCATGTTGACCATCACTGCTAGGTTAAGCAACTTTAGTAATAAAGCACTTTCAAAACCAGTTTGGTGTGAGGTTGATTCCTAATCTGAGAAGGAACAGCCTGTGCCAGGCAAACTGTTTTCTAAATGGAGACCGAAATGAAAAACCCACCTGAGAAGTGCTAATGTACTTCAGGAACCTCAAGGCCTCGTAGTTGAGAGAAGGAGTTGGACTTGCCCATGGTTGTAGTTCAATGTGCCATCTCACAGTCTGCAAAGCAAAGCAAAACAAAAAACACTTTAAAGGAACAGGATGCATTTCTCAGTACAAGCACAAAACGCAAGGGCTAATAAATTAAGGAGATTTAATTTCAAACAAAAAGAGCTTCCTAGGGGCTTGTCTACACATGAAAGTCATTTCAGAATAAAGCAGGTTTTGAACGACAGTGAAAGAGCATCTAACTATGATTTATCATGATCAGCTTTGAAAGCAGATGTAGGTAATTCAGAAAGAAAGGGCTCTTCATCCAGGATACATGTGTCAACACAGTTATTCTAGGACACCCAAGTAAGACCCGGCTTGTAGAAATGCATAAAGAAAACCAAGATCTGGATAACTCAATCCTCTAACAAAACATCTGAAAACAGTGAAATAATTTTAATTTTATACCTATTGCGTATCTCCGCTTGAATATCCACTGAAATGAGAACTTGGATTGTAAACACTAATCACCAAAGGAAATCTCTGTAAACAACCTTTCGTGTTTTAAAATCTACATTTGACAGAAAAACAAGCTTCTTGTGGTCTCTGAGAAAAAGTCCACTTCCTCTCCCACGCCTGCCTGGCAAGATACACCAGAATTCTTTGTTTTCCTGAAAAAAATATCAGCCCGGCTGTCGGTAGCCCTACAACTCCTTATTTTCATAGCCCCAGGGAAGTAGCTTTGGTGGATGCTTTCTGTGCTCCCTGTGAGGCCCCTCAGCTCTGCACCTCGGGGATCCTGTCAGCTTTTCCAGCAACACTTCCCACATAGACAGAAGGGGACAGAAGAGGTCTTTCAGACACGTGCCTGCAGAGCAACGGGGCTCTGCACTCCCATCTGAGCCACCTTCTCCAAATCCTGCCCGCTTTTGTCACCCTGGGAAGTTTAGACGTGTTCTCTCTTGCCCTTGAGTAGATAAAAATATAAGCACGGTGTTAAGTTGTACTAAATTAAGATTGATTCCTCATGGCTTTTCATCTTCAGACGCCATAACTCACTTCTATGGCTGGGCAGGTAGTATCAAGTTTCCCTTTAATCATCCCTGATTAACTGAGCTTCCATAATGAACAGGATGGGGATTTTTTCCCCATAGGTTCACGTTGACATTCAATAAAATACCAAACAAACAGAAACCCCATTTGGGATTCCCACAGGACCTTATTTCAAACGCAGCCCTGGAAAACATATAGGAAATAGCAATTAAGGGGAGAGGATGGAGGCAGATCAGAGAGGCAAGGTGCTGGGTCCTGCCGAGAGGACAGCCCCACCATCGGGCTGGTCTGCGGCACCAGGAGAAGAGCCAGCGTGGTGACAGCGGGGATCCTCTGACGCCAGAGAGGAACACAGGAAGGAAAAAGAGAAGGCGATGCTAGAAAAGAAAGATGATTAAAGGGGACCACCAGACCAGATGGAGTTTGCCTTGAGCTGATATAATGAATTGATATTTTTGCAGCCCAAGTAAACAGTCTGGAGTGCACGTGAGCCAGGAGGTCTGTATGAGGTTTATTGTTCCTTTAGGGTTTGCTCTTTGTTTTTTTTTTTTTTTTTACCATAAAGAGATGCTGAAAAGGACATTTGAGATTATTTTTTTCCCCAGAAGCAGATAAAAGTAGCATTTCCCACCCTGCAACCTGCTGCCTGCAGCAGACACAGGCTCCTATACCCTGCACAGCGCAAGGCTGGAAGCAAGCTAGCCAGCGAGCTCTGCAGCAGCACGTGCCCCTGACCTGCTGATTGCAGAAGGCAGCCTGCAAACAGCTAACAGCAGGAGGATAGGTGCACGCCGGGGAGGGAAATGCATGTAATCTTTCAGCATGAGTCACAGTTCACACGGCTGAATAACGTTTGCAATGACAGGAATGCTGCTGTTTCAACAGGCTTGAAAGCTGAAATGAAAATGAAGACTGACAATCATTTTCAGGCAAAAAAAAAAACAAAACAAAACAAAAAAAACCCCAAACAAAAAACAAAACCCAGACACCTAAACATCCATGCCCAGTTATTCTGAAATCTATTTGCCTGAGAAATAGCTCATAAGTAGGGGAATTGCAGGGTGGCCACTGTGGCACCATTCAGCAAGAATTCCCTCTGCACAGAGTTGACAGGGAAGAAAAAGAAAAAAAAAAAAAATCCCTATAATTAACCACGTGAATGAGGTTCTTTTTCAGCAGAGTGCAATATCAAAGAGCCACCGTGGCTTTCTCTCAGGTTCTTAAAATCTTAAGGATGACAAACTGCCTTTCCACTGTCTCCAAAACCTATCAATAAACACAGGACTGTGAAGATAAAAACCCCAGTGTCTTAATAATGCAGTTCACTTAAAAAAAAAAGGGGGGGGGGGGGGGGGGGAAGGAGATCAACCTTTTATACAGCTCTTTAAATTTAGGAGCGCTACACAAATGCTACTTTAGTGAGAGATCAGACCTGAGCTCCTGTTTGACAGCAATGCTTTTGAATAGCTTCTCACACTTCACACTTGCTCCCTGGCTCCTTACTAAGCAGCAGCCCATTTCCATTCACTAACAAATACATTAGACAGGTCTGTTCCTAACACCTACTAAACACCCCCACGGGGCGCTCCAATAGCTGCATTACAGTAAGATTCACAGGCGATGAATGGGGAGGGGGGGAAATCCAGTACATCTCTTGGACCAGGTACACCCTTCCAGCTGGTAACTCACTGATGTCGGTGACGCGGTATGGGTATGTTCAGGACTCACCAAACATCCTCCTGAAGGAGCCATTCCCTATGTACATCGGTAGCCTTTGCTTATAGTTTTTCAGGTAATTTTCAGCCTGTCCCATAGTGTTTCCATGTAAGCCTTCTCAAATAAACTCTGCAGATAAAATGCACCCAGTCCCTGTGAACCAACTGCTTTGTGAAAATCAGGTTTATTCCTGATAAACACGTTCCTTATTTTGAGAAGTTTTTCCCCCTCTAGACTCTGCAATTTTATTTACTGAAAGCAAACCTGACTGTGGCATCATGATTTGGATTTTCTCACTTGTATCACAGAAACCTCTAGAGTAAATAATGGAGAGCATGTCCCTGTGGCTGCTGTACAAAACAGTCTGAGGAGCAGCTCCTTCCACAGGGGACTTCTACAGCAAGTACATGAGAAGAGCAGAGGAGGTATTACTGTCCATATTACGCAGCTTTGGATATGAAATTCAGACAGAGCTCCCCAAGGTCGCCCAGGAGGAGCCAGAAAACCGGTTCAGACATCCTGCATCTCTGGCTATTGCCATCCGTGTGCTGTCTCCCTAGGGTAAGGACTCATCCAACGAGGCACCATGACTGTGTTTCCCAAACACCAATATATCCTGATTCCACAACAGAAAGACATGACAGTACTGGGAAAGTTACAATGCCACTTAAAAAATATCATATTGAATATCTTGAAGTATCTCTCTATTTACATTGTTTCATTTATAGACACGTTACCCAAAATTAGCATTGTAAGAAAAATCAGTCTTCAGCAAGACTTTATCACAGGCACTGGTCAGACACTGACTTGAGCTACCCCAGAAGGGTAATGGATATCCAGAAACTGTAACCCAGAGTGATGTCACATTTTCACCACGTGAGATAACCACAGAGCAAAGAAAATCTTAAGGCAATGCCATTGCTTTGTTAGGAAAACTAGGACACGTTTGAAGGTCTGATTTTTTTTCCAGGTACTTCACACTTCAGGATAAGGACTGACTGCGTTCAGCTCTGGGGCCCCCAGCATAAGAAGGACGTGGACCTGTTGGAGTGAGTCCAGAGGAGGGCCATGGAGACGATCAGAGGGCTGGAGCAGCTCTCCTATGAGGACAGGCGGAGAGATTTGGGGTTGTTCAGCCTGGAGAAGAGATGGCTCCAGGGAGACCTTATAGCAGCCTTCCAGCACCTGAAGGGGGCCTACAGGAAAGCTGGAGAGGGACTTTTTACAAGGGCGCACAGTGATAGGACAAGGGGTAATGGCTTTAAGCTGAAAGAGGGTAGATTTAGGTTAGATATAAGGAAGAAATGCTTCACTATGAGGGTGGTGAGGCACTGGAACAGGTTGCCCAGAGAAGCTGTGGATGCCCCATCCCTGGAAGTGTTCAAGGCCAGGTTGGACGGGGCTTTGAGCAACCTGGTCTAGTGGAAGGTGTCCCTGCCCATGGCAGGGGGGTTGGAACCAGATGATCTTTGAGGTCCCTTCCAACCCAAACCATTCTGTGATTCTATGTTTCCTTCAGACCAATTTGACAGTAATCTGCAGTGACTTTTCTCTGGAGACCACTTCTTTCTCGGTTTTTCTCCCTCATAAGCCATCTATGATAGTCACCTGATAATCCCTTAATAATCTGTAGTATACATATGGTATAATTTGTCCTAAAAATCTGAGATCATAGTATTACATTTAAATCAACATGTGCAGAGGGCTCACAAACCAGCAGGTGTAAAATTGTGGGTTTGCAAAACTTGTTCAAGCATAAGCTTGAACATATAAATAATTAAATTCTTTCCAGATCAATCCTAGTTTCAGTGCAGTAATTCAAATAGCCCAACCCCTCCCTTCCGTTATGCTTACATTTGAAAGGGAATTAGTAAATTTTCCATAATTCCATCTTTTTTAACTCAGTAACTGTTTTTTCCCTCCTTTCAATCTCCTTCCTTTTTAGCAGCCTATTAAAATACAGAAACATATTAGCCATGTTTATAAACAGAAATTTGGGAATCCCATTGCCCTGCCAAGCAGTCTGTTGCTTCCAATGAAGAAACAAAAGACTTGTCAATACATGCACAGATGTCTTAATCAAGGGAAAAATATAAAATCCTCTGATTAAACTGTGCAACAGTAATTTTTTGCATCTGAGGCAGGACCATTTGGTGAGTGGAAAGCACTTGTGGCAATAAACTCCATCAATAACCATAAATATTTGCTAGCCATAGAAACAAATGACATACACACCTTCACCTCCAACCGTTCTGGCTGCGCTTTGTGTATCACCACGCTTGCCCCTTGTGGAAGGGTACAGCGGAACAGAGCTTGCTCATGGGTGAAATGTTGCAGGGATTTTATCAGAGCTTGCTCATGGGTGAAATTTTGCAGGGGTTTTATCAGTTTAAAATGCAATGGGTTGGATCCAAATTGCAAAATTTCAGACATCTACAAGGCAAACATATATTTACTGGACTGCATTCCTGAAGGCTCACCCTTGTGAGAGTAGATTGTCCCTAGATATGATCTACAGGGCTTGGACATAATTTTATTTGCGCTCCCTCTGGAGCACGTGTGGCCTTAAGCATATTGTTTTGTAGTGGTCTTGTTGTTTTGTTTTTTTCCCCCAATTCAAAAGTGCCTTAAATAGCGAAAGAAGCGTGTTGCAGCACACTGAAGTACTGGCTTTACAGGACACGCCAGCACGCCTCACGAGGGACACGCAGCAAGTGCAAAGCCTGCTGAGATGAGTGGGAGGGCTGCTGAGGGTGGAGGCGGCCAAACCTGGCACGCTGCTCCTCTCGCTGACGACACAGAGCAGCTCCGGCAGCGAATGATCCCTCGTGAATGCCCACGTTTCGTTTCAGAGGCAATTAGTTGGTCCGCTCCAAGAGAGAGTCGGGAGTGAAGAAACATTCCTGCAGTGTGGACAACGAGGGACCAAGCTCCCACAGTGGGCTGGGGAGCTAAGTTATTTGACAGGACAGACGAGGCAGACAGGCTCTTTAAGGGAATGATTCATCTCACTATAGAGTAGACATCTAAAATAAGTAAGATGAGTCACGCACTGGAAACGTCCATGTCTCTCCATGACCTGCAAAGGAAACCTGGAGGATGGGCTCAGAAACACCTACACCGTAGACATTCAACATCACAGAAGAGGAACCCCAGACCATGCCATGCTGCAGAAAATCTTGTATTGTAGAGGGCTGAGCCTACTCTTTAGCTGCGAGCCTCAAGCAACACTTAATTGCACTTTTTTCTTCAGCAAGGCTGACTAACTCCAAATGTTTTATGTTTGGAGCAGCAATACGTGGCACAAGTAAAACAAACTCCACCTCAAAGCGGAGGTGTCAATAGGAAAGACCAAGTATGCCTCAGCCTTGGCAAAGACCTCCTTGAGAAAGGTCAATTCATACGGTCCCCTTTAGCTAAATGTAATCAGCATCACACAGAGGGCTCACAAGACGTACACTCATAAAAACATGCTATGTTAATTTAGAAGTAGCGGGGACGCACACAGGCTCAGTAAGCTGTAATTTAAAATACAGCCTTACAAAGTGACTGTGACTCATTTAAAGCTCCGAGCGAATTAACTTCTAACGTGGCTGGCTTTATAGGTATCCCAACCCTACATGTCTGAACTGTTTCTTTCCCTTTTTTTGCTTTTCTATTACTATTATTTTCTACTTTTCTTTGCAGTTTGGCTTTCTTAAACATATGAGGTTTTCACTTAAGGAACCGTATTGCAGAAATTGCTACATACTCTGCATGCGTGTGCCTGTATTGAGAGAAAAGCAGTGGGTTCCCGCTGAGACATCAGGCATTGGGAGCATCCCAGGGAAACGCAGCTGACACCTAGTTCTGCAGCCACCTAAACTGAGAATTTCCGCTCCAATGGCGGAACTTCCACGCACTGCATAAACTACATAATGAACTGAAAAAATATTAATACAGGAAATCTTTCTATTTCCCCATTTTTTCACTTTTCCGAGTTTATCTAAAGCAGAGGCAGCTCTGACAACACTGTACGCAAACCCACAGCCTTCTTTGTACCCAGCCACCACAGGATTGCTCCATCCTCTATACGTATCGGGTTGGTGCAGTGGAACAAGCAGGCCGCATAGGCAGTTCCTCCCATAGACAAACTCCAGCGCTATAAAACTGTAGTGTGTTACAGAATCACAGAGTGGTTTGGGTTGGAAGGGACCTTTAAAGATCACCTAGCCCAAGCCCCTGCCACGGGGGACATCTGCCACTAGATCAGGTTGCTCAAAGTAAATAGTATTGGTCCCACTACAGACCCTTGAGGGACACCACTCATTACTGGTTTCCACTTAGACATTGAGCCATTGACTCTAACTCTTTGGATGCGGCCATCCAGCCAATTCCTTATCCATCTAACAGTCTATCCATCAAATCCCTATCTCTCCAATTCAGAGCTAAGAATGTTGTGGGGAGTCGTATCAGTGGCCTTATAGAAGTCCTGGTAGATGACATCCATAGCTCTTCCCTTGTCCACTGATGCGGTCACTCTATCGTACAAGGCCACGTGATTAGTCAGGAATGGCTTGGCCTTCATGAAGCCATGTTGGCTGTCCCTAACCACCTCCGTGTCTTCAGTATGTTTTGACATATCTTTCAGGAGGATCTTCTCCATGATCTTATCCAAAGATTTGATGGTGGAACATTAAGCTGAGGAACAAAAGCTTTGTGCCAAGATGAGCAAGCAACATAATGCATACAGTCAGGCTCCCCCGTGCAGCAAGGCTACTCACCAGAGTAAACCCTGCCTATGGAAACCAGTCCTGCGATAAGAGCATTTTCCACACTAGTAAGTGGGTGTCTTCAATTTAAATGGGATTTTGACACGACTTGCTTATGAAGAATTTTAATAACTAGGGGTGTTTCTATGTCTGGACATGCGTGTTTTGTTTTATTGAAGAGGGAACTTCTAGGATGCACTTAACTCTCCCCTAGCTCCTTGCTCTCTGTGCATCACCTCCTCCAAGCCTCTGCAGTGCAGCGCACACTTGTCTGCCTGGGAGCAG